CAGCAACAGCGGCAGCAACCCCTGTAGCACGGCGACGACGACCCTGTTTATTTGAGCGCCTCAAAAATGCAACGACAACAACCTCGAGGACAACAACAAACTGCAGTTGCAATACAATTTGAACGCTGAAAAGTTTGAACATGCCGTTCTACTTATGCGCCGCAGCAGCAGTTGCCGCCGTTGCCGTTGCTGTTGCTGTTGTAGTTGCTGTTGCTAATGCAGTTGTTGCGGCGCCTGTGGCCCACTTGAGCAGCATACGCAACGCAACGCAACGCAACGCAACGCAACGCACCGCACGCATGGCACGCACTTTTGCGCAATCAGGACGCGCCAGCGACAAGGACATGACTGGCCTGCTGTCGTCGGTGGGGGGGCAAACAAATTTCGCTCAACTTCCGGTTTAACAATATGGCAAAATAGAAGAAGAAGAAGCAGCAGCAGCAACGTTGCAACGTTTTGTACATGCAAATGCTTGCAACAAAACTGCTACAAAATGTGGCACCAAAATTGCAGCATTTGTTGAGCTCGCCTCACTCACTTGCACTCCACCCCTCGCCTCTCTCTCTCCCTCTCACTCTCTGCGCCTAGCTCGATATTTAATTCGCATTTCGTGTGAGTTGACGCGTAACCTTTTTGCCTCATATAAAAGCGGCAAAGTTTTCTTTTTGTTTTTTTTTCCACAATTTGTTTTTTTTTTTCTTTTTTGCTTTTTGCTGCACGCATGCCCGGCATTTCGAGTGGGCTATGCATTTTGCATTAAATTGCATAACTTTTGTGGCAATTAGACGGCATTGGCAAGGATATGCAAGGATATGCAAGGAAATGCAGTTCGCCTATGCAAACAACGAATGCGAATCTATCAATTTGCCAGCCATGGCGTATACGTAATGATACGCATACGCAGCGTGCGCCAGGGCCAACAATTCTCTCGGCTATTTCATTTGATTTTTTATTGCTGGCCTACCATACAATCAAGTAATTTATGTCTGCACAAATTCCCAAGCTCGAATACAGGCAAAAAAAAAACAGGAAACAAATTGAAATAGGCAAATAGAAAAATAGGCAAATTATAAAGAAATAGAAAAAGAAAAAGAATGTAATAACCTATGCAGCTTATGCATAATTTAGCTACCTCAGGCGGCACCACTTATATTCTATGAACGTTCCACAATAACCAATTGTTCTCTATATATATCTCTCTCCCTCTCTGTCCTTGCAGGCTTAGAACGTGTCGCTGAGGAATTCATGGGTCGCAGGAAATGGAAACATTATCAAGAGCAATTGACGCGCAACCAATTGAATATCGCAGAGCAACAGCCCATATCAATAATAACGAGCGAGGAGACAGACGACAACAGCGAATACAAGGAGAGCCACTGCAAGCCACTGAGCCAACGCTTAGAGCAGCCCAACGGCCAGCCAATCAGCAGCAACAACAAGAGCAACGGCTTGTTGCAATTTGAAGGCGATTTTGGTATGTAAAGAAATGGTCGACTCTTGCTTAAGCCGAGACACAAACCAAATATTATTTTACCACAGACAACAACCACGATACATCACACGAGGAACACGACTCAAGTGCAACATCACGTAGCTCCGTCTCACCGACTCCACCGCCAGAACCCAACGATTGGACACCGTTTGATAAGTGCAATTTCTGTGTTAACGGTCGCTTGCTAACGGTTAACGCCAAAGGCGAATTGGTGGCCGAAACAACGGCCAGCAGCAACAGCAACAGCAACATCACCAACAACAACTACAGCACAACTGTGCATCAGGTTAGCTCTCTCCCACTCTCACACTCGATTGCTAAGTTCTGACAACATAAAATTATCGTATACTTAACGCAACTTTCCCATGCAGCACGACAGCGACAGCAACTCGAGCGTATCGCTGCACAACAGCAACACAAATACCAACAGCAAGCATAGAGCACGCAACAACAACAACTACAACAATAACAACAACAACATAGCCACAGTGTCATCGGCCACGAGCTCCGTAGAACTGTATAAGCTGCTCACGCAGCAAACAGCCAAGATGACATCAATGGAATCAATGGCCGCCAAGCTGGCCCAATTCACAATGATGGCCGACATCAATTTGATGAACACGCTGGCCAATCAACAACATGCCAACTCCGTAACACCAACTACCTCGGAAGTAGCCGCCGCCGCTGCTGCCGCCGCCGCCGCAGCCGCTGCCGCTGCCGCTGCATCTGCCTCTGCCTCTGCCGTACCCAGTCCCACACTCAAGGAAGCACTGCACAGTCCACACAATGCCGACGCGCCGCTGGACCTAAGCAGCAAGCCATCGCCGAACTCGTCGATCAGCGGTGATATCAAGACAGCCAGGTGAGTCTCAATTCCAATAGAGATATACGATTATATACTTGCTTATGTACTTGAATATATAGTAAATATATTATATGAATCGCTCATTGCGCATATGTGAAAATAAACATGAAAATGCAACACATTAAAAAACAAAACGAAAGTAAAAAAAAAATAAATAAATAAATAATTAGTCCAAATTTAAATGCTCTATAATAAACTTAAAATAATAATAAAAAAAAAAAACTGTTGAAAAAAAAACATGTAACGAATGCAAACTAATTAAATAATTAATAATTAAATACTCTATATTTATTTTTTTTATTTTTTTTTATTTTATTTTATTTTATTATTATTCATGAAAATTCTTATAACAAAAAAAATTATAATGAAGTAATAAATTTAAAATATTTAAAATTTAAATTAAATTGCCGTATTAAATATAAAACACATAAAAAAAATAATGAAATAATTTACTAGTGTAATACAACTTAATAAAAATATAATAATAAAAAATTTCAACTATTCAGTAATCACTAATAATTTGAATTTAAGACCTTCACAATTTAACTTTAAAAATCATCAATTATAATCGCAATTCATAAATTAGAAATTTATTTTTATATTTAATAGGCAAACAGCAAAAAACTGAACTAAAAAAGAAATAAATTAATTAATAAAAAAATAATAAAATATATAAAAAATATTGCTAGGCTTAGAGATGAATATAATTTTTCAAAAATATTTTTAAAAATTTTAAAATATATTCAAAGAAAAAAATCAATAACTATATTGGTTTATACGCTATGAAAAATAATTTCAAAAATATATAAGATACAGTGATATATATAAAGATCACAAAAACTTGACTTAGATAAGAGCCTAATACTTATAGTTATCCTCTCAATAGCAATGACTATCCCAAACGAAACCTGACTTCTCCTGCTGCCAAAAGTCAGCTGGATATAAAAATCACGCATTTTCTCTGCGCATTGCTCTATCTGTGTATCAACAGATTTTTATCAACTCAGTTAAGCAATGCAAACAAGCTCCATAATAAATGCGACATGCCCAGCCTTAACTATATACGTATATATACATATATATAAAAAAAAAAAAGAAGAGAGGAATAAATTCAACATGAAACAAAAAAACAGAGAAAAAATGGTATTTCAGCAGACAATACATGAGATAATTGCACTTTGGGCACTGGCCCGCCTCTGACACTGCATTTATTGTAGCATACTTAATGGGGCGGTAGAGGCGAAGGCGGAGGCGATGGCGGTGGGCGGGACGACGGGTGGCCAACGGAAAGCTTTATTGTTGTGCGCCTATGTAAAAATCGTGCAATTACACATGCACGTGTGTGCATGTATGTGTGTGTGTGCCGTGTGTGTGTGTGTGCATGCACATTTAAGTAGGTGTGATGCGCATATGTGTGCATGTGTGTGTGTATGTTGTGTGTGTGTGTGCGCGTGGTTTGAGTGCGGTTTATGAAACGATGCCGAAAATTACACATACGCCCCATAGCACGCAGCCAGCGCTGCGTTGGCCACGCTTAATTACTGAGGCGGTGCAAGCTGTGGGCCGCATAAATTTGCATCAAATTTGAGCTGCCAAAAAAAGCGAGAGAGTAAAAAAATGTATACAAAATGTATTTCCAGCTGAGCTGTCTGTGTGTGTGTGAGTGAGTGCTTGTCTGTGTGTGTGTGCATCTTAACTCCTTTATATATTTTATGCCTGCTATTTTTTTAATTACTCTAAAATGTTCGGGAGCACCTAGGCTATTATTTATATATGTGTGTGTGTGTGTGTGTGCACTTCAGACGACAGAGACAAGGGGCATGCTGAGAACGTGTGCATAATTTTCCAGCACTTCCACAATTTTTGTCATTATTTTTTTTTTTTCTCTTCTTTTTTTTTTTTGGTTGTTTTTTTGTGGCGGCAGCGGCTGCTGCGGCTGCCACTTGAGCCGCAAAACACGAGTCCTTGTCTATTGTCTAAAGCATGGCCAAGTGTTTGTTAGCAGCTGCTGCTGCTGCCTTGCATCATCGTGCACCTATTTTAATTGTTGTAATAAAAAGCAACGAAAAAAGGGAATGCGAACAGGATGCGACGGCTGACAGGAACTGCAGCTGGCTAAAAGAAGAAGTCAAATGCCGCGCGCATTGACAAGCGCTCAATGGCTTTGGCCAAAACATGTCCAGCTCACACACACATAGATATATATAGTTGGCAAATGTATTGCCAGCAAGCAGCTCAGTTAAAAACACTTGAAATACAAAAGCCACTGACGCTGCAATTTTTTGGCGTTTATTACGGATTTTCTTTATACTATATATATATGTGCATATATATACATAGATATATATATATATATACTGTGCTGGCTGCTGTTGATGATGAGGCGGCGACATCGCCACTCCAAGTCAAGCGTCGACGTCGACGTCGCCGCTGGCAGCGGACGCAGCAGACAGAAAATGAGTGCATCATATCGATCGCTTTTTTTTCCCCACTGCGTTTTACATTTTTTTTGGTCTTTCTTCTTGCTACTTTTTTCTATGTAGCACTTGGGCTGAGGCGGTGGCGGGCGGCGGCAGGGGCGTGTTGTCGCTGTGTGTTTATATGTATTCATTATTTTTCGTTTACGAAAAATTCTCTGTGCACACACACACACACACACTCACAGACACAGACATGCACCGAAAAAAAGATTGTGAGCGTAATAACTGGCATAGACTGATGACGCCGGCAGCGGCAGCGACTGCGACAGCAGCAGCGACGTCGCTTTCCCCATTTGGCCCCAAAAAAATGGTGAAAAAGCGAAATAAAAAAGCTTAATGCGTGCACTTGCTATTGTTATAGTCGTTGTTGCTGTTGTTGTTGTTGCTGCTGCTGCTGCAGGCCAGCAATTTTTAACCGTTTTTTTTTATGACTCCCCAATCCCCCTGCCGCCCTTCTTGGCATATTTTTGTCATATTCCAATGACCGTTGGGCGTTCAGGTGGGTCGGCCTGGTTGACTGGCTTGGCTGGCTGGCTGGCTGGTTGGCCCGCCTGATTGCCGTTATATATGTTTGTATGCTATATGCGTGCGTGAATGAAATGTCGCTTAAATGAGCGAGATAGAAAAAAAAAACGCATACAAAAAAATTGCAGCAGCTGCAGAGGCCACGGCAGCGACGTCAGCAGAGCTGGCCGTAAAAAAAATGAGTGCATATCTTCCGAAAAAATGCAACTGCATGTGTATGCATGTATGCGAGCATGCTAGTGTGTGTGTGTGTGTGTGTGTGTATGTGGGTGGTTGTTTGCTGCGCACGCATCGAGTGCAAGGGGCAGGCAGGTTGGGCTGGGAGCCGCCTGCATTGGCAACAAAAACAAACATGCAATTGCATTCATACACAAATAAAAAAAAAGCACTCACACACACACACGCACACATGTAGTCACATGCACACATGCACTTGATGCATTTTTAACAAAATTGCATTCGACGTCGTCACACACACAACCACATACAGCCGAACATTCAACCCTGGAACGGGACACTGTGCCAGCCCACGCCCACTTCCGCCCACCCACTGGCCAAACCATGTTTTCGCTGGTGGCGTCCCGCCACAGACAAATTTAGCGGCCACGCAACAAAATGAAAAGACAACAGAAAAGCGAAAAAGCGAAAAACGAAGAAACGAATAACCGAAAAAGCGAGAAGCGAGAAGAAGAAAAAAGTGAAACGAAAAACTTTAATTAATTATGTACACAGACCGTAGCCAGACTGTAAAGAATATTTAACAGATGCTTAACTTTGGCTAAACTTCAAATTAACTCTCTAAATTATGAACGTAGCGAAATTACAGCAAAGGCAGGAGGAAAGTGCGAGCTTATACAAGTAAGGCTTCTCTATCAATCGCATTGAATATGAGCCGAAAGAAGTGAGGCAGCAGGAAGTTTAGATTGATTAGCTGGAACTTGCTTCAACCAGAACTGTAATAATAACAAGATTCTAAATTATGGAGTGCATATAATAAATAAATATAGAAATAAAATATATTCAAAATTAGGTTCAATATTTATTAGGTCAATACTTGACTAGGGAACATAATAGCATTTTTATACATTTAAGCAAAGGTTGTTACAATCAGATAGAATCCGGCCGAATCATTTGAGATATGTAGTATTTTCATTTAAAAGACAATCTAATATACCTCAATTGATTAAGCCTGCTTCCATCAAAAAGTGCTTTCATTGTTTATTGTTTATAAAAATAAAACTCCTTGAGAGTCAATACATTCCTGCATTAGTTTAAACCATTTGATGAAGCACTTTAGCCACTTAGAGTTGGAGATCCGCAAAACGAGCTACTTCAAGAAACTTTTCAAAGAAGCATAAGAAATCGCTAGATACTAAATCAGTGTTGCAAAGTGAATGAATCATTAATAAGATCATTTGACTGCTCAAAAACTCTCTTGTGGAAAGAGAGACGAGCATTGCTTTAATGAAAGATGATTCATTTGAATCCGTTGTTAATTTCCCTCATTATCTTCTAGCATCTCAATAACTCTCTAGCCTCAGCTGCATTAGCATATAGTTAAACTAGCTTATAGACCTACTAGGCATTACATAAATGCCAGCATTCACTGGGTCAATGAAAGAACTATATTACTAGTCAGGCACTGCTCTATTCAGCTTTAAATGCCATTAATATGACTGCAAAGCAAAGTCTCTCAATATTTCGATCATTTGCTAGATTATGGTATATATTAATAATTTTTATAAATTTTTGCTTTCGTTTGCTCTCGCATTGCCCGCGAGTCGAATGTAATTATGTATATACTTATGTTACCAATGCATTGTGCATTTCATGTATGTAAACGGATGCGAGGCAGGGGTGTGAGTGTGAGTGTGTGTGTGTTTGTGCTTGCACTGCTGTGTGTGTGTGTGTGTTGTGTATTTAAGGCATACAAAAGGTGTGGGATTCACCGACAAAAAATGCGATATGCGCATAAAAATGTCAGCAGCAACAACAACAACAGCAACAGCAGCAGCAGCAGTTGCAGCAGTTGCCGATGCAATTGCAGCAAGCGTCAAAATTGCAACAACAACAACAACAGCAACGAAATCCACGCAAAAATGCAACAAAAAATCAACCCTTTTCTTATTTTTTGGTGTTGCATGGCAGTTGCC